AAACGTAGATGTTATAATCGGGGAGGATGTCCCTTAATGTGCCTGGTGTCTTCATTATTATTACAACTAAAAATGCCACAGGAATCATGTGCGTTCCTAGAAGTGGAGATTTGCAGCCTTCCGGCCCGTTTCTGATTCTTCGAGCGTAAATAGCATCAGGGCATAGCTATAAGAAAAGAAATAGCCAGTTTATTACAAACCGAAGCGGTTAGAAAATAAATTTGCAAAAATACGATGTTCCCCTTTCAACCTCCATGCACCTTGAAATTTCCAGCAAGCTTGGTTCCAATTTCAGTTTCAATTGGTTTTCAATATCCTAATCCAATTATATTTGGAAGAAAAAATGGTTTAGAACGACCCAGCCCAGCGTACGAAAATATAAACGTTATTGTAGACTAGAAGTTTGATTATAGAAGTTTGCTGGGGATAATGCAACACTGGCCAATACCATACATACTCACTTTCAAACAAGGCAAAACCGAAGTATTTCTCTCTCTCTCCCTCTCTCTCTCTCCATCTGCCTACCTCTCTCTCTCCCTCACTCTCCCTCTCTCGGGTACGGTAGCTACTGCCACTTCCACATCGTACTCTTTTCGATCCCTTCCGCGAACTTTCCGTCCCCTTTAACCCGTTCACATCCTTGCCCTTTTCCGCTTCCTCTTCCAATCGTCACGTATTAGCTCACAACTGCTTGGAATTTTTGGACTGAGGATTTTACATAAAAATGTGATGCTTTGAACGCTTCTCGAAAAATCAACATAAAAGGTCTGGAAGTCGCACATAAAAACGAACGTCTTCATTTTTATGTGCGATCAGCGGTACGAATTGTGCCCATACATTGCTAGGAGTAATTCGACTGTTTCAAAACATTGTGTTTCAATCAGAAAACTAGAGAGGCGGGTGAAGGCTGGGCTAATTACGAGAGACCATGGTCTGGATTCGACATGATTTATATACAGGGTGACCCAATAAAAAACTGCCCCCCCCCCCCTAAGTCGACGCAGAAGTATCGGATCGGAATGATAGTTACACCATTCGAAAGCCCTTCAAACGGTGAATTTACAACAATCTTCAAAACCATGTGTTTTATTTAAATGCGCTATTTTACAAGCCACTTTGTAAAAATTACCGCTTTTCGTGGTTGCATACGAGCTAATTTGTTTCAACCCCTAAAAACCGGAAAATTTTACAAAATATCCTGTAAACTGTCACATTTAAATAAAACACATGATTTTGAAAATTGTTGCAAACTGGCCGTTTCAAGGGCTTTCGAATGGTGTAACTATCATTCCGATCCGATACTTCTGCGTCGAGCTAGAAGGGGGTGTTTTTTTATTGGGGCACCTTACACCCAAGTTTGGAAATTTGCATGAACACTCTAGTTATTCGATTCCAAGCGCCGCCCATAAAACCTGACCTGCGGTTGTTGAACTTTTGGATTCGAGGAGGGGGGTCTTAAAAGTCGTTGCAACCCGGATGACATCGCAGATCAAGCAGGGAGCAAGAGAGAGTGAGAGAGAGAGAGCGAGAGAGAGAGAGAGAGAGAGAGAGAGAGAGAGAGAGAGAGAGAGAGGGCTACGTGAAAATAGGGAAGCTCCGCCCCTAATGCCCCCGGGGGATGTTCACGATTTGACAGCCCCTCCGCTTAGCCTTGTACTTGGCGCACCGTAACCCTGGCGCGCCCTTTAAAAGGAATCTACCATAAAACTACTGCCTCCATTTTAAAATTAATTGAATGAAAATTTAAATTAATCTACGCAATAAACTTGATTTTGTTTGCCAGCAAAAAATGTTTCAGAAAAACTGATGAAGAATGGGTTTCCGGGTTTCATATTCACTTTAGCTCCGAGATGCTGACGGCCCCTTTTTAATCTTGTACTTTGCGCACCGTAACCCTGGGGCGAGCATTCACGCGATTGTTGGTTTTTATTGCTCATCATTAGCTAATTAAAATTTTGATGGCTCGCTTTAATTTTTTCGAAAATCATGGTTGTCGTAATTCATGTTTCGAAAATTCAATGCCTTGCGCCTCATCTATTCATCAAAATATACAGGGTGTCCCAAAAAAAACGACCCATCTGGCATTTCGCCGTGTTACATCCAACCGGACCCAAATTTGGACCATAGGTGTATCAGACCCTAAATAACAACAATCCTGACTTTTAGCCCCGTAGCTACAGTCTTTCTCGAGTTATAACGAAAATACTGTTTTTGACGCAATTCTAAACAGTGTTTTCGGCTATCTTTTTGGACTTTGCATCGATTTGCATCGACTTCCGGCTGCGAATCCCTAATTTCGCTTAAGAACTTGGGTAATTTTGTGTTGTAAAAATCGCTTAATTGAACGATTATTTGATTAATTCTGGTCCGGAAAAAATTTCTTCGAGTAAAGAAGGCCTACCGAATCATTTTCACTTAATGTCTGGGGGGTCTAACTCCACGGAAACCCTATGAAAAATGGAAAATAAAGTTTATTTTGGTTATAACTTTAAAACTACTGTAGCTATGGGGCTAAAAGTCAGGATTGTTGTTATTTAGGGTCTGATACACCCCTGGTCCAAATTTGGGGCCGATTGGATGTAATACGGCGACATGCCAGATGGGTCGTTTTTTTTGGGACACCCTGTATTTATGGCAACCGTTTTCATGAAACATTTTGCATTTTGGAGCTTGTGGATATTTTGTTATCATAATTTCCTGACCAAACCCCTTTAACGGTATGAGTAAGAGTCAGAATTTTATTCTTTATTCAAAAACGATGTTTTAAAAACTGCAACCTATTGCTGGTGTCTCGGGAAATAATTCGGCACTTCTTATTTACTTTAGTACCGTGTAAAATTTTTTTTAGCTCTTGCTCCTCCAATAATTATTATTTTCCATGAATAGATGGCACAGATCAAACTTCTCAACCTCCAAGGTCTTCCAAATCAGATTTTTTTCGGCTTTTTACGGCCGCGTGGCTTTTGAACGCTGGAGGCTCTCGAAGTCAGAAAGCTGGCCCTCATTTTTACCCCTTAAAGGGGCTCCGAAATCTGGTCCACGGCCCCCTGCTGTGATTCCTGGCAAATAGCTAGATGCGACCGCAACGCAGACGCGACGCATGAACACCTGTCCCTGTTTGGACGCGAAAACGCTTGAATTTAAAAATTCTGATGCTATTTTTGGAATCCTCAACGAATTTGGATCATTCCAGACTTTGAAATTATGAAAATTGATCATGGAATCGCCGAGATCGAGAGATTGGGTGCCTTACAAGGCATTACGACATGTAATTGCCGCGCATACAAAATCTCGCTTTTCCCCCAAAAAGAATTTGGTTTTTTCCAAACATTTTACGTTTTTTCGCAATCAAATAACGTTTTTGGCACTTCGCGGCAGTGACCTTTTCGTTTTTTGAGCCGTATGTTTAATCCCCGCACGCACGAATTTTGACTTCTGAGCCCCTTGAAACCCATACTTGATATGTAAACTAAAAAATGTTTCGGCAAAATTGATGGTGTATAGCTTTCTGGAATACATATTTGTTCGAGGCTAGTCTTTATTTACCTAGCGTTTTAAAGGAGCGCGCAAGGCAGGGATATGGATTTTATTACCGTTTTATTAACTTTGATTAGCGATTAATTAGAGATAACTTGTAGATTAAAAGTCCGTAGTCCATCCTGTAGTAAATCCATAGCCGAAATCCACGGTCTTGCCTTGTCGGTCCCTTTAAGTGGTTTCTTTGCGCCCTGAAGCCTAAAATACCCCCCAAAACAATCTCGAAAAACTTTTTTGGCGATTTTATGTTTTTTAACGACTAGTTTTATGAATTTCTTTTTAAGTCGGGGTTTTAATCTAGATTAGAGAACTTTCTCACCCTGCCTCAATATTGTGGTGTTCAAAATAAATGCGGTTAATCAACTATAATAAAAAAGTAAAGACGTCTGTCTGTCTGTGTGTGTGTGTGTCTGAAGCCGAATTCAACTCGAAGGGGAAAGGAGCTAGAGCTTAGCTCTCTTCGGATTCGGATAGAGCGCCGTTAGAAACCCCCAAACTGATAAAAAAATTATGAAAAAGTTTTAATTTAAATTATTAAAATTAACTTTGAAAGTTTTTTCCTTAGTAAAAGGGGCGGGGGACGGAGGTTGGGGTGATTTTGGACATAGTGAACCAGGTCGCGCGCGTTTCGTGGATGAAAATTTTCACGGAGGATTTCATTTCTTTTTTTCTCTCATTCCATCCGGTCGGTCGTTATTTTTGTTTTTTAGGGGGATTTCGGCTAGGGGAGGTATCTTAAACCATCGGGAAGGTATTTAGGTAGTTTTTGAAGGGGATTTCAGCCATGGGGGGGTATCTGAAGCCATCAGTAAGGTATTTAGGTAGTTATTGAAGGGGATTTCAACCATGGGGGGTATCTGAAGCCATCGGGAAAGTATTTAGGTAGTTTTTGAAGGAGATTTCAGCCATGTGGGGTATCTGAGGCCATCGGGAACGTATTTAGGTAGTTTTTGAAGGGGATTTTGGCTTGGGGAGGTATCTGAAGCCATCGGGAAAGTATCTAGGTAGTTTTTGAAGGGGATTTCGGCCATGGGGGGTATCTGAAGCCATCAGGAAGGTATCGATGTAGTTTTTTAAGGGGAATTCGGCTATGGGAGGTATCTAAAGCCATCAGGAAGGTATCGATGTAGTTTTTTTGAGGGGATTTCGGCTAGCGAAAGTATCTAAAGCCAAGTAAAGTAGCTAAGTTTTAGCAGGGATTGGCCATAGAAGGTATCTGAAGCGACCAGCGTGGGTATTGATGAAGGGGAGGTGTAATGTGGTGGTGTATAACATGGAGGGTAGCCCGAAGGCCAGTCGATTACAGTCGCGAAGCGGCTGTAATCGGCTGGTTTAATAATATAAATTAACCGGAAAAACGATCGTTACCATCGTTATTATCGAGCTTTTCTCATATTGATGTTTCATGCTAAAACCTGCTTCCTTTTTGCGCTTCAATTTTTAATTCCTTGAGTTTAGTGGCCATGCAAACCAAAACAAGTTCGAGCAGATTTTTTCCAATTTTTCAGCTGTGGAGCCCGTCGAAAGGTAAGATAAAATAAATACAACTAGACGAGGTCGAGTAAATTATTTAATTAGATTTGTATTTGTTTTCAATTTTCCACTTATGTATTCATTTTAATGAGTTTGATTACGATTTACGATAAAAATGAGGGGATGAGAGGAAAAATGAGGCCAAATCAGTAAATGTTTCGTCAGAAATTTTGCTTCAGAACTTTTTGAAACAATTTTTTTTTGTAGCCGCTGGATCGGTTTGACTTCGGCTTAAAAAAGTTCTGGCACCTCAGTTTGTTAATTCCATATAAAACAAAGTCCTACACCCAAAATTCGTTTCGCTTTATTTTGATGGTTTCGTAATTGAATTTTTTTGAGGAGGCGTGAAATTAACAAACCTTCAACTTTAATTCGCTTTGATCTAATTTTTCGCTTCTTCGGTGCACTAGTCAAATTATTGTCAAACCCAAATCCGCGGTGCCTTAAAATTTTGCGAAGCATACTTTTTTCCCGTTGGGTTTTGTTGGCTATGGATCTCCAAATTCTCCAAATCAGCATAATCCAGAGGTGCCTTGCCCGTTTCGTTAAAAAACCAGATTAAATAGTTACTACTCCAATTAAGTGAGGTAATTTTTGGGTACAAGAAACAGAACGACTGGCAAGAATCTATTGCAAAAGCTAAAATTCAAAGGACCTTCAACATTTTTTAAACATTTTTTTCTATACATATCTTCTGGATTTGAAGAATTGGCTCTTTCAAAATGATCACCAATAAAATAGATATAACTAAGAATTTACAAAACATAAGGCAACGGTCGCTTTGGATGACATTTTTATGCCTATTTTGCAATCACTATTTTTGTAGAAAAAGACGCCGAAGCGGCGAGTTCTACGACTGAGAAGCCATCCAGCACGAGTTCAATCGCTTCCTCCACAATTCCTGAAAAATCTTCACCTACGACTAAACGACGATTCCGGCATGACGTCGCTGTACTTCGAGCGCTGGCCATAATTGCCGTGCTGGGCTACCATTTTGCGCCCAAATATTTCCCGCTTGGATTTTATGGGGTGGACTTGTGAGTTATTTGTTGTAGTAGATACCGTACGAATTGTGGCGAATTTTTACGATTATGCAACTGTTAGTACATAGAATTGACGATTCGCAAGCCGTTTCGCATCCTGATTATTACTGGCGAAGCGACAGCACCCAGGAGTTACTGTGAAACATTTCGCTCGAAATTGCAAAAATAAAAATTTAAACCATTTTGGCAAGGAGCTTACTCTTTTGGCTGCTGCTTTAGTATTCGTATTAGAGCTTGCTCGCAAAGTTTAGAAACGGAAATTCAAACAAAACCCAGAATTCTGAACGGTTGTTCTAATTATGACCGATAAAAAGCTTTTTTTTAATTTCAAAAGCAAAATATTCAAAATTTTATTGCTAAAAACTGTTGTTGATACTGGAAAATTAATGCGAAATTAACTAAAATTAATGCTTTTATTAAAAAGCTGCCTCTGTATTTTCTGATATTTAGTAGAAAAGTTCAACGCCTGATTTTTAAAAGAAGATGTTTCAACTTATGAGCAGCCACAAAACCTTTAAGTTAGTATAATTGTTCGTAGACAAGGTTTTCAACTGACTGAGAATCGGCCATTGATATTCGCAAAATCCGTTTGATTTTAATAAAAATAAAGAGTTTAATAAAAATTTGTAACATTTTTACGCTTAAGGATAGTAAAAATAAGCTTAGACATACTTCTTCTATTTATATTAGAAGATCGGCTCCTAGGAAAAAATTTACTCCCCTCCCCCCCGATAATGCAAAAGCACCCCCCAAATTACATTCTTTCAGATTCTTCGTGATCTCCGGGTATTTAATCATGGGTATTCTGGCGAGTGACCGGTCGCCATACTACATGAAGATTTACAATTTTTACTACAAACGTTTGCGGCGTATCTGCCCGCTATATTATTTTGTGTTGTTGGCGATTGGTAAGTGGATGTAAATACCGTTAAAAATTTAGAGCTATTTATATAAATTAAATATTAACAATATTTTATTGTTTAAAAAAGAATTTTCGAATTACCGCTTGAATTTAAAGCTACGATACCTTAACAATTCTATAATTCCAGGCTTTTCCTCAATCTTCATATACTCGGCCGGGTGGTTGACCAGATTTCTCGGCCATTTCCGGCAGGCATTGATGATGTATCTAAACGTGGATTTGTTGTTCAGCGATGGTGACTATTTTGCGGAGGTATGTTTCGAAAAAGTGCTTAACTCAGCGGGATTCAAGCCAAGTAATCCTCTTCCGTAAACAAGGTAAAAATTTTTTGGAGAAATTCGGCCAACTAAGGGTAAGCCATCTTAATAGGCTTCACGATTATTGTATTTTGTAGTCTAAATCTTTGTAGGTGCAATTTTTTCGAAAATTTTATTATTTTTAGTTTATTTTTGAAAAGCGTTAATACAGGGTGTCCCAATAATAACTCTAACTCGACGTGGAAGTATCGGATCGTAATGATAGGTACACCATTCGATAGCCCTTGAGACGGCCAGTTTGCAACAATCTTCAAAGCCATGTTTTTATTGAAACGCACCATTTTAAAAACCATTTTGTAACATTTTCCGGTTCTTTTAGGCCGCATACGAATGATTTTGCCTTAATTTATTCAGGCAAAATGACCGGAAGTCGCGGTTATTTAAAAAGCTGGGGCTGTTCCGTAATGTTTTGAAATGCGTTGCAAAATGGCACGTTTAAAAAACCTGGTTATGAAGATTGTTGCAAACTGGCCGTTTCAAGGGATTTCGAATGGTGTAATTATCATTCCGATCCGATACTTCTGCGTCGAGTTCGTGGGGATGTTTTTGATTCGGGCACCCTGCACAACGAAAATTTCAAAGTGACGATTCAGACGTTTTTGGTGTAAGATGGAACTGTTGGCTGCCTTAAATTTGCATTCATTTCCCATTTTCCAATATTTATAATATTGAAAACAATTAAATCTAACGGCATGAGCTCGACCACGGGAATGGGATCGAAGCATCTGGACGTCATTATAGCTGGCTATTTGGAATCAGGGCCAATATCCTATGAAACATAATTTTTTCGAGACATCTATTTTGAAAGTGGGTGTAGAATCGAATGACGAGTATGGCTTTAATAATTTAGCTACCTTCTAAAATGCGGAAAAATTGAATTCAATCTGCCTAAAACCGCCGTAGAATACAAATCAGAATCGGAATCCTTAAGGAACTGGAGCAAGATTACAGTATTCAAAACCCGGGAAGACTACTGGGTGCCTCGAAACATTTTTTCACTCGAGCCACCAATTAAAAAATTTGCAGGCCCAAACGGTGATATAAAAATAGTCTTACAAATTGCTAGCTCTCCAAAAATAGTGCAGTGGTGTATAGCCTTCGTCAACAACGTTAATATCAAGGATTTAAAGTTTTAACGGGCCCGATTTCTAAGCTGATCAGATAGCACAACTACCAGAGTTCACCAAACATATTTTCCGTTGTCGATTTTGAACAATGATTTGCTTTTTTAAAAATTTTTGATTTTTGAGAATAAAAAACGCTAGAAGAAATAGTAAATTTTTTCTGAAATTAGACATTATTAAAGGGATGCCGACGGCATAGACAATCGGTTACGCGCGGAAAAGAAAATGTCTCTGCGCCTCTCCCTGGGCGCGCTCTCTTCCCCTGTTGGCTACTTGTCAATTTGTTGATGAGGGGGGATCGACACATGCCGTCGGCAGCCCTTTAAAACACTTCTGCGCATTTCTAAATTCATACAAAAACTTTGCCCCCCCGATAATCCTAAAGAGCCCATTTTTTGTGCAACACCAACACTGAGAAGATTTTTATTTAATGATTTAATGAAACGTAATTGCTTAAATCAAAAATATCTAAGAAAAAACCGGGACAGGACTTTCCCTAGAAAGTGATCATAGCGCCATAGATCTACGAAACACGCCTCTTTCCAGGCCACCGAAGCGATGCCATTTCTACATGCGTGGTCACTGGCCGTCGAGATGCAATTCTATTTGGTGGCCCCAGCCATCTATTTTATGGCCAGCGTACGGTGCTCAAGTTAGTTGCCTTTATGACATTGAGGGTTTTTTTGAAACAATTTATACGTTCTTTCCGTGAAACATCTATTTTCGGAGGGACGAAAAACTACAAAACGTTCTGAATTTGGGTGAACCTACTTAAATTGTCTTGGAGATGCACTGCAAAAATCCTCAAAATTTTTCCGAATTTAGTTTGGGACTGGACTGTTAGCGGAGGGATTTATATGATCGCGGAAACCAAATATTTCCTAGTAATTCCCGTACTTTATACGTAAAGTATATCCTATCCTATAAGCGAGAAAAGTATGTGTGTTTTCTGTACAGCCGATTTCTCGGCGGTCTGGCCGAATTTCCGGCTGATTTTTGGCATGGACGTGGAGAAACACATTTGTCAGTGATGCATTTTTTTGTTTTGCCAAATTTCTTCATTTAACGATTTTACAACAAAAATAGTGAAAAATCCTTAACGTTTTGCCCAAAAAAAGGTATGTCCGGAGGTTTTCTCGGCCGCCAAGAGGAGTTGGGCTCTGATTTTTGGCGGGTGAGTGGTAAAAGCAATTCTCCCGATAATATTTTTTGGATTTTGCCAAATTCCTTAAAATAAAATTTTTATGAGCATTTTACTAGAAGGTCCTTAATAAAATGGCCACAGTCCCGTGGTGTCCGGGCCATAACTCGAATCCCAGATGGAATTTTGGTCTGTAATTTGGTCCACTTATGTATTCGATAGTGGGGATCACGCGCATATTATTATTTTTACAAATTTTCGGCGCATTTAGATTCAAAAAGAGAATTTTGTAAAGTCCCGGCCAGACAGCCAGACAGGCCGCCCGCAAGACAGAAGAGGCCTTTCCCGCCGCCCATGGCCATCTCGCCCGTATTGTAGTGGATAGGCGACCGGCCTACCAAGCGCGTGGTCCGGGTTCGAATCCACGCCGAATTTAACTTTTTGCTTTTTGGTAGTTCAACAACAAAACATATTTCTATGGTCTCGGTATGCGAGTTTTAGGCCTGGCCCTCGCTCTAGCGCCGCAGGCCAAAGAAAAGAAATTTGACCCAGGCTCTGGCGCCGCAGGCCAATCCTGGAAAAAACCCAGTAACTAGCGCCGCAGGCTCAAACATTATAGCGGAATCCTGGCTCTGGCGCCGCAGGCCAAAGAACAGCTCCTTGACATACGCTTTCGCGCCGCAGGCTAAATTCGGGCGAAAAACCAGTAGCTAGCGCCGCAGGCAAAAGTTTCTAGCGCGAAGCTGGCTCTGGCGGCGCAGGCCAACGAATGGTTCCTTGAGTCAGGCTCTTGCACCGTCCGGCTACAATAAAAGGAAAGGGAATTCATGATTCCTAGACGTGGTCCAGTGGAAAAGGGCCGCGAAGCGGTCATTTTCCACTGGTTAACGATTAACGATTAACGAAATATAGACCATTTTTTTAAAGCATCTGCGCAGTTAGCACTCAAAAATTTAGATACGCAAAGTAAGTAGGTATAAAAATTTCGACAGTTGTCGGATCAATCAACAAATTAAAAACCCAATCCAGATTTAAAAAATCAAACTTTTGATAATCGTAAAACTTTAAAAATCTAGAATCAAAATAATGTAAATCCCTGCCGACAGTGAAAAAATGTTTCTAACAGTAAAGATGGCGAGTGGTGACGTGGTTTTTTAATAAGCTGTCTGCCGCCGTTGCCACCTTTTAAAATAGATGTTTGCGCCACAGTTATTAATTGCAAAAGATCTAACGTCTGGATCTTAAACTTGATTCATCGAGATCACTGCGCCGATACCTTTATGTCATTCTGTGTAGACGTAAAATAGCAAAATACAAGTTCAGCCAAGAGAGGCGATTTTGATGTTTCACCCAGAAAACTAGCAAACATCAAATTTTATATTGGAATCTTTTGAGCTGCCATTTCAGTAGTAATCCACCATTTCCCGGGGAAAAGGGTTACATTTTGTACATTACATTTTTTTGTAACGTACATCAACGGGATTTAATGAAACTTTAGTCGTCCGGGGATTAAATGTCGTAATCGGTCTCGCGGCATTTAATTTTTCAGATTAATGACTATTTCCGCGGCCCTTCAAACCTGGAAAACGCTAAAATCATGACATTCAATTCAAAATACCGGCAGCCGGAATCCCGACAGCTAGAAACCCCTGCGTTTAAAATTTATCGGTAAAACGACCGGAAATATCACATTTTTGCTGTGGGGATTTTGGCTGTCGGGATTATTGCTTCAATTTCTTTAAACCACGTCCCTTTTTCAGAACTGGGCCCTCTGGGTCGCTACGCATTGGCCGTCCTGTTATTCTCATCCCTAATCTTCGACTATCTCGTCAATGCCGCCTATTCCTTTTACTTTCCCTTTTCGAGGCTTTGGCAATTTGCGGCCGGGATGTTGGCCTGTGCTTTGTCGAAAGGAGATGGCGAAGGTGTCGTTTTATTATTATACCAGCCGCGGCTATGCAAGCGGCTGGACGTCGGGCTACCCCCCTCCCTGGGCGCTCCCTCCCCTTCGCCGAAACGCGCGCGACCTGACTCACTATGTCCCCCACCCCTTTTACTAAGAAAACTTTCAAAGTTGATTTTAATAATTTAACTAAAACTTTTTCATAATTTTTTTTATCAGTTTGGGGGTTTCTGACCACGCTCTATCCGAATCCGAAGAGAGCTAAGCTCTAGCTCTTTTCCCCTTCGAGTTGAATTCGGCTTCACACAGACAGACGGACACCACAACAAAATTATTATAGTTGATTTAGATTTTAAAACAATCAAAGTTTTACATTTTATTTGGTGCACGCCGTATCAACTTTCTATTAAAACGGAACTTGAATGTTACCTCGGTAATTTAATGAAGCACATTTTTTTTCCCAATAGAAAATGGATATGTAGTTTGCGAACTGGATAATTTTGCTATGATTTTATTTAAATATTTGCGCTTGATGGTTTTTCATTCCGCGACCTCAAAATGATTTTCTTAATTTAATCGTTCATCACACCTATTATCATCTCGTGTAATAATAGATTTCAGTTAAATAGAGTCTCGACAAAAACTAGAGTAGCTAAAAATGATACGAAGCCAAAGCGAAAACTAAAAACAAAAAAAGGAAATGGAAATTGAAATTTGGAAACGCTGGAAATTTTTGGGAGCTACAAGCCGCAGCGAATTATCGATTTTATCAGTTAAACACAGGGCGGTTCATTGAAACATAATCTTTTTTTACTGACGCTCACAGCGCGGGTAATATGCTTCGTTTGGTGGGTACAGTTTGGCTTTATTAAAAGGCCATGCTCTTCAAAAATACAAATCTTCCTCCCAATTGAGATTTAAACCTATCAAGCATAATTTTATACTTTTGTTTCATCGAATTTGATCAAACCTAAAAGAATTTTTACCTCCGGCTCTAATACCCACTATTGACTTTCTGGAATTTTGCTTTTGACGATTCATTGAAACACAAAAATTTGCAAATGTTGTAATGATTTTAATTTAATAGAGTTAATAATTGTTAAATAATAGTAAGATCCGATGCGGAATTCCATTTCATTCTAAATAAAATGCTAGCCATTAAATTAAATAATGTTTCACACTCAATGCAATTTAAGCAATATAAATTGGCGGTAGTTGGTAGTGAATTCGGTCGATGAACTGAATCCAAAATGTTGCTATTTTCCCCAGAATTAAGCTGTTACTAATGTTTTTGCTAGCACAGCACCTTACCTGCTCACTGAAGCGCAAGAATTTTTATGAAGATTGTAACTTATCGAATTGTTCAAGTTCCTAGTCCTCAGTCACTTTGAAAATTCGTGTTTCAGCTCGAATACAATAAAATCAATCTACAAATAGAGATGATGCGGTTTGATAAAAAAGTTACAAAATCAGCTTTGCGGTTTTAAGAAAATGGCTAAACCTTACTTAACCCCGCCAATTTTCAACACCTCCGCGAGTTTGTCGGTGTTTTCGCTCGGCCATTCGATAGAGCATAAAAATATACTAAGGGTTTTAATTACAGCTCAAAAATAATGCCGTATAAAAAAGTTTGAAAATTAGGAAAATTACTGGAAAAAAATTAGAAAAAAGAGAATTACTTTTAGGAAATTTCCGCTGGGAACAGTAAAGTGGTAAAGTGAAGTCTTACCAATAAATATGCGTAAAAATAATTTTCGTATTCACTTAAAATAAAAAACACATTAAATAATAAGGTTTCACCGTTGACTGCCACCAGAAGCCTTCGAAAATAGCTATTATAAAGGTACACCAATCGCAAAAAAAAAATATTTCAGACTCGAAAGCATCCACCAAAATCGAGCTGATCTCCGTGTTCACCGTGCCCTTCCTGTGTACCGTATTCCTGCCCTGGAGGCAGCTGATAGTTTTCGCAAAGGAGGCGAAAATTGTGGTGACGCTGGCGGCGGCTGCGTTTCTGGGGACCGCATCTTATGGAAGGTGTGTTTCATAACAATTTAAAAATTGGAAATTGTCTTACCTAATAATTTAAAACCGTCGGCAGATCCTGGTTTCCTAGCATTTTTAGCCCGTTAATCTATAAATCTACCCGTTAATAATATATAATGTATTTTTATAGCTTTTGTGGTATTTTTTGAATGCTAGCCAGCTATAAAGAATGAAAAATTTTGAGAAATCAAAACGTTTTTCGCTCATTTTTTTATGCATTTTTCTATCAAAAATTAAACATTGTGTAATTTTGGCTTTTTTTTTGATTTTTACGGCAAAAAATGTTTCAGAAGCTATAAAAATCGTCTATATTTTGTCACAGGGCTGTCCGGGATTACTGAGAAAAACAAACCCGTTTTGTCCTCTAAGCCCCCCGGGTAACAGGACAGCACCGAAATTTTAATCTTTAAAGTGGATTATTAATTAGGAATTAACTTTGTAGAGATTTAATCTTATTTTTAGAAAGTAATGTTACAAAATCTTGGGAAGGAAAAAAATTTCAAAAATTTATAATTCATGGTCGTTTGTCGAACCTAAATGTCATTGGTCTGGAGCAAAGTTTAGCTTATAAAACTACTTTTCCTTAATCCAAATTTTTTACAGTGCTATCGATTGGTCGAGGGCTCGACTCGGATATATTGCCGCAATATCGTATGCGCTATATTTAATCCATTACCCAGTGCTGCGGTATGCCGAATATTTACAGCCCTACTTCTTCCCCGGCACTTCCGGTGAGTTATTTTCACGGTCAACCGGGTCGGATGCGCATTATTTTCTTTGCTATATCCCGAGCAGGCCATCTCCGTGAAACCCTTTTCTCAAAATTTTAGCTAGCTTTTAGGTTTTTAATCTATTACGCCCCCTAAAGAAAGCAATTTTGCTTCCGAAGCTCTAGGTTTTTTTACCTTTAATTTTTCTTTAAAACATTTATTTTTTCGCCGGTTTAAAGCTCACATTTAACAGGATTTTATGCCTTTCTGTTTCATCTAAAGTGCTTTTTTAAAAAATTTAGTTGACACCTTAGCCCGTTTTATAGTAGGCCTCTCCCTTGAAAAACGCTTTTTTTCTTTGGCTTTAACTTTTTTAGTTATTTAGTCGACTTGTGGTCCACTTTCCATTAAAATATACATTTTATTTTTTATTTTAGCCTAAATCAAGTTTGTACAAATGGTCCAATTGGGGAATATCTTGTCGATGTGACGCCCAGAATTTTTGAAACATTATTTTTTTCTCTTATTCTATAACTAACAATAGTATTTTAAAGCATACGTTATGCAATGATTTCTGACCATTTTTAACTTAAATTGGCTGAAAGGCCGAGTTTATAAATTTTAAACTTCTAAACCATAGTGGAATCTTCGGGCTTTTTTGATAAATTTAGCTTTTCAGAAAAGTTTAGCTTAAAACGGATTTAAATCGATAAAAAACATAAGTAACATTTTTAAAGGGGCTATCTCCCCTAGAATCGTCGACAAATTTGAATGCGCGCGTTAGATACGCAGAAATCTCGCTGCAAATTTTCGACGATTCAGGGCAAAATGCCCTATTTTGAAACTAATTAATACTCGTCTAAAATTTAAATTTAAATGTAATTAAGATTAAATCCCTCTTTAATTAAATTAAATTTGAAAAAATTAAATTTATAATAAAAAATTAAGGCATCCAAAAAGATTTTTAAATAGATTTTTCCAGTATTCCTCGTCGCCCTTCCCCTCTCCCTCCTATTGAGCATCATAATCCACGAGGTCTTCGAAAAACCCCAACTACGCGCCGCGCCAATTGACACCGCCAAAAATATTCTCTTGCCACTGATCGTTGGGCTGTTGTTCGCCCAATTCTGGCAAAATGCCGCTCATCCATTTCAACCGGAAGATAGCAACACAAATATACGAAACACCGAGACGAAATATAAACTGGAGGGCGGTCATTATGTGGATGATGGGTTTTTGGATGGACACTGGGTACCGCCGCCGTTTGGACATTACGAATGGCTGGTAGGTTATTTTAATTTTATATTAAGGGTCGCGAAAAATAGATTAAATCTGCATACGGGATGTCCCAATAAAAAACCACTCTAACCCGACGTAGAAGTATCGTATCGGAATGTTAGTTACACCATCGATAGCCCTTGAAACGGCCCGTTTACAACCAGGGCTGGTCATTTCGGACCCGGGTCGGACCCGGACCCACCCGGACCCGCATAAATTTGCATGGATCCGGGTGGGTCCGGGTAGGTCCGGGTCCGGAAATGCAGCAAGATGCAAATGTAACAGCACCCTCTTCTTCTTCATCGGATCTCTCATCATCGGACGAATAGTTGTCCATCTGTTTTTCTCGTGATTTGGGTCTAACTTACCAACCCACAAAAGCAAATCAATAGGAAGGCAAGTCCTTGAAAAATGACTAAGAACGGATCAAAACCATACATCGGAAATCATGCAAATGACCCGGACCCACCCGGACCCGGACCCGGTCGGACCCATGCAAATTGGGGTAGGTCCGGTCCGGGTCCGGGTCCGAAATGACCAGCCCAGTTTGCAACAATTTGCAAAGCCATGTTTTTGGTTACACCCGCTACTTTACAAGTCATTTCGTAAATATGGTTTTTTTTGGGGGTTGCACACGAGCTAATTTGCCTCAATTTCTGCATGAAAATGACCGGAATTCGCCGTTAATTAGCTGCAGAGACCGTTACTTAATGCTTTTCCAGCGTTGTAAAATGATGCGTTCAAAAAAAAACAGTGTAAATTGTTGCAAACTGGCCGTTTCAAGGGCTTTCGAAGGGTATGTTTAAGCGATTTGATTTTTGTTAATAAAAACCAAAGTTTGTTAAAGCTTCTTCCCGAATCCCGCCATGTCAAAATTCCGAATATCCAGTTTTAATTTGGCATCAATATTAAGGTGCCAAAGTCTCAGAAATAAAACTGAATGATGCATGATGCAATGATTGTGGTGGAATTCCAAAACGTAAAATGGAAAGGAACAAAGCGTTGAGATTGGTAGAGATGCAGCAATGTACAAGAAGGCATTTTACGAAACACAATTTTTTAACCGCCGAATGAACCTTTTCGCAACGTATCCTTACACGAGCATATGAAACGGATTGAAATATTTACTTTCAAAGACGAATGTCCGTAATTCGCGTAACCGTGATGCGCGTAATTAATGCCGCCTAAACGGCCCACTAAGCCCACGGGCCATTTTTTGATTTTATTAATCAGATTCATGGATCGCGTATGTTTCTGAACGATCACGCCACTCTACGCAATACGCAACGCGCATGCGAATTTGGCCAGTGTCGTAATCCATTAATGCGCCAAGGGGGTAGCGTCACATTGATAATATTAGTTGGACGCGCTTGACCCTTTAAATATGAAACACCATATTTCCAGTCTAAAAAAAATCTAGCATTTCAGAACAACACTGGCAACGTGAGCGTGGTTGTTGTCGGCAACTCGTGGGCTAGCCAGCAGGCGCATGTATGTTGCAAAAATTTACAAAATCAAGAATTAAAAAATTAACGTTTCATAAAATGGTGTAATTAATTTGTTTTGAACCGAACTATTAGCTTTCTAATTTCACCACGATTACCTACGAATAATTAAAATCTGGGTGAATGCTATTTTTTAATTTGTCTAATACCTAAAAATACCAACGTACTACGTAACAAACAATAGAACTAAAACGCTGATTTTAGAAAAAGCCATCTTTTTAAAATATGGTTTCAATATGTATTTTAGAGCATTGTAATTTGTTAAATTTCGCGAAAATATTAGTGTAATTTTATTTGTTTAGATAGTCCGGGAGCTGCTCCCTGAAAATGTAACGTCAAGCATGGACGCGTTCACTTTCCCGTCACGCGGTGTGATATGGCATTATTTGAAGGGTAGGTTCATTAAAATCTAATAGTGCGTACAGAATGCTAATCGCATTAAATCAGCAAAACTTAACATGCATACGTTTGTTTCTTGAAACATACTATTTAACATCCTAAAAATGGTCAGCAACTTGAGTTGTGCAATTTTGAGTCCATAACTTTTTTAGGAGGCACCGAGATTTTTTGGCGTTTTATGGAAAAGAAGCGCCCGAAAATCGTCTTCATCGTGCAAAGGTATCGAAAATTAATGATGGTCTAGTCTAAATTTCTTAATTTTGCATGTTTTAGACGCCAACAAGCTAAAAAACGATTCGTTAAAGCGTACGTTCTGTCACTAAATTTCTATTAATTCCAGCTTGCTAAAATCGGCTACACTAAATTTTTATTCTTAAAACTCAAATTTCTGCTTGTTTAAAAGCCGGTAATGTGGGGGTTTGATTAGCGAAAATATCATTAATAGTAAGGTATCCAAATTTCTAGTGTTTCAAAAGTTAACAAGGTGCTTAAATTCGTGAGTAAAATCAATTGGCACAATGCTCTAAATTGGCACAAAGCGTACGGTCTAAAGTTTCTGATTTTTCTTCTCTTCGTGATAATTTTTGCTTTAGATTACTATGGAATCTACTGTGAATTTTACTATAATTTTTAATTATTTTGATCTGATTTATGATTTTTGATAGAATTTCCCCGAGTTGCTTCACTTAAATTTGTTAAAGCGGTTTTTTTAATTTTCTGCATGTTTTAAAAGGCATTCAGTTAAAAACTATACGTGAATAATAATTTGATTTCTTTGAGCTCACGCATGCTAATTATTTAACGACCAATTGAAGTGTGTAAAATCATCATTAAATTATTTTTTATGTGTAATGCCCAGTCAGATAATAATTTAATTGCTAAAATTATTTTCTCTGAATCCGCCAATAAATGTTAATCGCTAAAAACAATCCTAAGCTTCATTGTTCTTATGTTTCACAAACCGAAGAGGTGCATAGATAATCAGAAAGATTAATTGGCCAAAGGGAGAACTTTGATTGTCTAATTTTTATGATTTACGCATTAACGCATATTATTTAGATACGTAGACGTGTTGGGCGATTTGGATGCGTTCAGGCCAGGGAATGACACCCTGCTGGAGAAATATATGGACAGTATCGATCGACTGAGGTATGTTAACGGAATATGAATGTTTCATAAAAATCGGTGCCGCCTTGCCGAAATTTGATTGTAGTCATAATTGCACACTCGTTTTCCCCTGTTGAGTATCCTGACAGCAAACATATAATTAAAATGATACATAAAAAATTATTGACCGTTCACCAAAAGTAAATCTTGATTAATATATCGCCCTATCGCTGATCAAATAAGCACAAAAATTAGGACGGACGATTGTTAATTTTGTTCAAAGGAAACTCAAGTATTTGGGCCGTTTAGCGTATAATTAAAATGTTATAAACAACTAAGGAAAAATTACGAGAAAATTAACTTAATTGTTTGTCCATTTCGGTTCGCTATGGAATTCTTTTGCCGCAAGCGCGAAACGCGACGCGCCCTGAAATGGATTACGGCACGCGTATTGCGTAACGTGCCGATAAAAGCGGTAAATCGATGCGATAAAATCTATAAAAACCCCTGAAAAATTTCTGTATATTAATATTAGTTATTAATAATCTAAATAAAAACTAATAAATTTTATCAAAATTATTAAAATTCATTTTACTACCAGCTTGACAGTTATCGGTGGTAGTCGACCATATTTGTAGTTTTCGGCATGATATACGTACTTTTTAAGATGAAATCGGCTTAATTTTTTATGTACAAATGGGGCAAAATCAGCAAAGCAAAAATCATAAACATTATATAATTATTTATATATCATAACAAAAGATTAAAAACTAATCGAATCGACGAAAAATTGCGTATTAACGAATAAAATATCATAACAAAGTGTGATATTTAAGGAATATAATGCACCGAATAATAAAAAAATATCATTGCTAGATCATTTTTATCGAGTTTTTGAATGGATTTTTATGTCACAAAAAAACTGTTGCAAAATCGTCCAGCGACGTATTAAATGAGCAAATAATATCTTTGCTATTTTTTAGCATGAAACATATTTTTTTCCAGCAAATTCGCCGACCACATTTTCATCCTTGGCCATCAGCCGTTTGATTGTAGCGATGCGACGCACGATTTTCTCAACAGATTTGTCGATCATTTGAATTTCGGCAAGAATGTCGACATTTTTAATGAGCCGTATGATGTGAGTATTTCTTCGTATTTAAATTTGGTTTAATTCCGCAGCTGCAACTGGTATATTAAGGTCGTAATTCATTATGCTGCTGGTCGAGCAGAAAAGAAAAATTAAGAAATTATCGGCTTCTCATAAGCTTAGAAATAAAGAGACATGTTTTTAAAAAATAGGGATCCCCTAAATGGCAATCAAAAAAACCCAATAGAAGCGAACTTGCTGTGATTTTTGATCGTCTTTTTACTTAAAAAAGTGTACGATTTTCAGCTGCTTAATGTGAACATTTTTGAGGATAACTAAATTGGAATTATTTCTAAGGAGGTTTCTATAACAAAAACAACATTTATAACAACGTAGTCTCCGATTGAAAACTAAGAGAATTCTATTTAAAAATTATATAAAAGCGCACATTTTTGATAAGGCTTAAAATTTGCGTTGGTATTCGACACTTAAGTAATTAGACTGGCCAACAAAAAGATCTTGTGGCGTTTTTTGAAACCCAATTTTTTGAACTTCTCATTAAAAACTTTTTTCAGATAACACAATTTGACGCAATTTCGGCGCGGCAGAGATTGCGGGCTGTTTTGGAGAGGTGCCAGAAGTGTCATTTAATCGATCCGGCGATACCGTTTATTGGTGAGGAATTTATTTAAAAATTTTGGAGAACTTACAAATTTGAATCGGTTTTTAAAGCTAAATTAAGCAAATTTTCGATATCAAGGAGTCAGCATCGCAATAGATACTTCTAAAATATGCAGATACTATTTTACACACTTTAAAAGCTCAATTATGAAAATTCTGAGATTGAGGGGAGGTCTAAATACTAATTTAATTTTTATTCGCAGCAAAATGATGTTTCGAAACACCATCAATCCAGAAAACAGTTTTTTTTATTTAATGGTCGTTTGTCCAATAGAGAAATTAGGTTTTCAATTAGTTGAAACAATTTAAAGACATGAAAACTATTTGAAAGCGTTTAAAAATAAGCCTTCGGATCAATACTAACATTTTTGATAAGAAAATCAATTCAAGGCTATCAAAAACATGCCATTTTTATAAAAATATTTTTTACGTAAACTTAATAATGTTTTTAGACGAAAACGCGCATCTAATCCGGACGTTCGACCCGGCGACTCGGCTGGCCTACCGCGATAACGGGTGTCATTTGACGCATACCGGAATTGATCTCATTACTAGCGTCTATAGACGTGTTGTACGAAAAGCGCTGGCTGGATATATTTTTTGAGTGTAATGCACGATTTTGAATAAATACGGGTCGTTTATTTGGTAGCCATCTTTTCCTTCAAGAGCATTATAGAACGTTTCAAAAAATATGTGGTTGTTGTCATTTCAAAAATATTATTAACTTGAGGATCTTTGGTAACTTTACTTTCTCAAAAATAGCAAAGAAAATTCAAGGTAATTGCTAAATTTTTTAATGATTAGAAGCCGTTTTGTCAAAGGGCCTTAAAAATTACTAACTACTACATAAGTTTAATAAAATTATAGAAACATGCAATCTTTTTCAAACCACTTTTTTTAATTTTTTAAAAGATTTTTTGAGGTCTTTAGAATTGAATGTGCCATAAAAACCTAATTCTCGGAAAAATTTTCGTACAGAACTTAAGTGCTGGTCAAAAATAGATGTCCTAAAACGGAAAGTAACGTTCAGAAGCTCAGGAGCTAAAGGGACAAAGTTGTGATACACAGTTGCGATACCTTATCAAAATCCTTGTTTCTTGAATTAAAGTTAATGGTTTCACAAAACGCAGGCAAAACAGGTGCAGCAACTCCCATATTATGAATAGCTTACGTTTACGTTAAAAAGTTTTACTAGCTTACGTTAAAAATGAAAGAATTAGCTCCTAGCTCCTAGACAATTCAATAGCCCCCCCTTCACGAACCTGTAAGCTTTGGTGCTGTGGCATTACCGGGGAGGGAGGCGTGGAAAATGCCTTATTTTTGTTTAACTTTGTGTAAGTTTAAAAAATTATGGACAAAATTAGGAGCATTGGAAAGCTGTGTGAGCAAACGAAGGCGAAAATTACTTAATTTAGAAAGCCAACATCCGAAATGCCGACAATTCAAATAGCCGAAAGGCTAAAACAGTAATTAAGCTATAGCAATCGGCATTTTTGCGTTGACTCTGACCTGGCGCGGCTCAGGATTTCCGGATTTTTGATGTCGGCATTTTGGGATTTGGTATGATAATGTCGAAAAGAAGAATGCAAAAATCATGATGTTGGAATTTCATAATGTCGAAACCTCATAATGCCGAATCCTATAATTTCGAAATTTCAATCTGTCGAAATTCCAGGATGCCAAAATGCTTCCCAAGGTTTGGCGGGGTTTTTTCCGAGAAACATGCGTATGTAAATTTAGACATTTTGTAATTTCGAAAGTCGGAAATTTCGGCATGATGAAACTTCGACAGCACGATTTTTTACATCAAGGTTTTCGGCATTCTGATTTTCGACATTCTGACGTTCAGCATTTTGCAATTTCCACGTGACGAATTTCAAAAGTGGGAATGCCGACGTCATGATTTTCTCAGATTCTGAAATTTCGAACTTAGATTTTCGAGAATAAAATGCCGACGTCATGATTTCGGTAGTATGTCTTTCGGCATTTTCATAAACCCGGGATTTTGGTGAGCTCTCGTTAAATTCTAAAACGGTCCCGCGGGTCACAACTTTGCAAATCGCCCGACCTCAATTTCCGGCACCACCAATCCCGGTTAAACAAATCCCGTCCAGCAAAAATGATCCCACTCGGTCTCTGGACAATGTTTCCACGAGTCTTCCCATGTTTTTTTCCGTGGCGCTACGATCAAACGGTTATTTGGGCAGCCTGGCGATGGGCATAAAGTGTAACAAGGACATTTTACCAAAAAGAGACACCCGAAAAATCGTCGGCCTTTATAAGTCCCGGCTGTGGGGGAGGGGACGCCGAAAAAATATTGCCAATCCCGAATTTCTCTACCAAATGGCTCGATGGTGGAAAAAGACGGTAAATTTTATGTTAAATGAAAATTTAAACATTTGATTAATTCCAAATGTTTCATAAATTTTTCGAATCCAAAAATTATTGTATCTTTAGGAAAATCATAAAATGAAGTTAAAAGAAAAGCACTTTTACACAAATGTTTCAAAAAACCGTTTATTCCAAGTAGTAAAAAGGCGTTGGTATATTCCTAAGCGTCCAACTGTGTCAAAATACCGTAAATTTTGATCGAGTCTCAATGCTCATAAAGTTTTGAAATCCAACAACTTAATGGATCATTATGCAAAAAGGTGAAAAGTCAATTAAACACCAAAATTTGGATCTGCTTAAAAACCCCAAAATCAAAATGCAAGTAATTTTACAGTAATTTAAATATATCGAATCCAAAAATTTTTTATGAGTGATCAGATTAATCACGTGTTTCATAAAACTTTCAACCTGAAATGAAAAATCGCTTATTATTAGGGACCAGCTCTAGTCTTCAACTTAATCTGCCAAAAGTTAGAAAGAGCTCGATCGATCTGTAAAATGGCTAATTGAGTAAAATTCACTTTTTTTAATTAGTGATTTTAATTCCCATTGCAAATAATAGCCGGATTACAGAATGCGACATACCTCGGTCTGATTATTCGAATTCGTTATAGTTAGGTTTTAAAATGCGTTAAAACATGATTTTTTTCCCCGCCCTTTTTCCTTTTTAATAAAGTTATGACTGAATGCAAAAATTTTCATCAAAAATGATCAGATTAATGGTGTGCTTTATAAAACCTTGGAAGGTAAAACGAAAAATGACCTATTATTAAGAATGCTTGCAGAAAACTTTTCTTTAAACTTCGATAAAAAAAAATATAGGGCTTGATAGATCTTCTTTCAACTGAATAATTGAGCAAAACTAAACAAGGTTGTTAATTAGCAATTTCTTAATTCAGGGCAATGAAAACAGGATTTACGATAGGAACAGAGCGCAGAGTAGTCGAATTCGATCAATTTCTAGTTTGAAGATGTGCTAAAACATATGATTTGTTCAACTTAAGTATCCAGGTAGCCAAAAATTTAATAAAACTGATGGCTGAATGTAACAATTGTAAGTATTCAGCGTGCCCACTTAAATCAATCAAATTCTTAGATTTCAATTTTAAAATTGTTCCAAAACATTATTATTTTTCTATCCTCAGATGAGTGCATTTTTGCTGATGGCCGCATTAATGATCGTTCATACGATGCTTGTGCTGATTGCCGTCACGGATCCGGGCGTACGGTATGCGGCCAGGCGGCGCTTTGCCCGATTGGTCCAGAGGGATACGGTAGGTCGAGTATCGTTTTTCATAATTTTCGAGTTGAATTCTAAAAAATCGCTATCTTAAAATTCCATAAAAGTTAAAAAGCTTTTAAAAATCTAATTTAGTAAGCAGTAAAATCAATAATCAAAAGGTAAGATAGTGAACACTACGAAATTTCGTCATTTTGAATTTCGGCGTTACGAATTCCGCCACTACGAATTTCGACGATAAGAAATTTCGACAGGATGAATGTCAAAATTATGAATGACGACAATCGAAAAAAGTAGAAAACTTTCGGCATTTTTCAAATCTTTTGGAACCCTTGAAATTCACGTGTTTCGATTCGCTTGCAATACGAATTTGGCTGAAGAACTTGCATTAGTCGCAATGTCCCAAAAATCGTTCTACCACATTTTAAGAAATAAAATTTCTTGTAGTATAAAAAAACCAGTGGAAAAAAGCCGCTTCGCGGCAGTTTTCCACTGGCCACTTCTAGGCCCACATGACTCTAACCTTCCCAAAAGCCTATCGTAAATTTATGTGCCGGCCGGAGGCCGGCCACATAAAGCTGAAAAATAGATTCAAAGATACAATTCAAAAAAGTTTAGAGATAATTATGGCAACGAACCAATTTTGAGAAATCAGACACATATTAGGGGGTTTAAAATATTTATTCAGCGAAATATAATTTAAAAAGCAACGAACAACAACAATAACAACAACAGAAAAAGGTAAAAATAACATTAATAATAACAACAAATCAACAATGACAAAAGATTTAGAACTTATTCGAGGACTTCTTCGTAGACGACGTTCTTCATCTTGTTGTCCTTGGCCATCATCGAGACACCTTTGCGGCTCCGTGCTCTCGAGAGAGCAACATAAAGCTGGCCGTGTGCAAAGATTTCTTCGTGTAACATCGCAATGCCGACCTTTTCGAATGATTGCCCTTGACTTTTGTTGATGGTCATTGCGAAGCTCAGCCGAACCGGAAATTGGCGTCGCTTCAGCACGAATGGTAGTGTGGCTTTGTCATAAAGGCAATCAATTCGGGGGATTAACACTTTCTTGCCTTTCCTGCTCCCGTGGCAATTGTGCAGAGGAGAATTCTGGCTCCGATTTGCTCGACAATCAGCCTGGTACCGTTGCAGAGACCCTTTTTGACGCTGAGGTTTCGCAGAAGCATCACGATGCATGAGGTGGGGAGGCATTCCAGATGGTGTCATCTTGTTTAGAAGCTCTGCGTTGAAGTTGGCAGCATCGGTTGGATCAGTAGTCTCGGCCGAGTCAGCACTTCTGAAGGTTTTGACTTCTCCGGGTAGCATATCCAAGATTCGATTGTTGAGCTCGAGAGCTTGTTCGTTCTTGGGTGTAAGGATAGCTACTTAGAAAGTTCAACCCCTTCATCACAGGCTGGTCGGAAGACTGCTTCGGCCAAATCTTGCTCGCATCTGAGATCTTCGGGTACTTCGAGGTATCCCTCTTCGTCTTTGTCGAGTAGATCATTACCCAGAGCGAGAAGATAGTCCTTCCAGTCGTTGCCTGCATCCCGAACTTCTCATGTTGGTCGTGAGCTCAAACTTGCGAAAGAGCGGCCAGAGTCGGGATGTCTTCAAGCAGGCTGACACCATTTCAGCACGACCACCGCCATCGACCACGGGAAGTACCTGTCGGAAATCTCCTCCAAGTACCATGACCTTTCCACCGGAATGGCACATCGTTTTGCATAATGTCTTTAAGAAGAGCATCAGCTGCTTCGAGTGCTTCTTTCGGTGCCATTGGTGCTTCGTCCCAGATGATCAGGTCGATCTCAGCGAGTGCTCGCGCTTCAATGCTCTGCCGTTTCATGCTGGATTCCTTGTTGTTGGTCTTGATCAACAGACGGAAGGCTGTGCTGACTGTACGTCCTTCTTCCAATAGGTTGGCGGCAATACCTGTCCACGCTACCGAGAGAATCTTTTTACCCATACCGGATAGAATATGGTAGATGGTTTGGTAGACAAAGGTTTTTCCGCTTCCCCCCCGGACCGTCAATGAAGAAGCACTGCCCACTTGGGTCTGCGACCTCGGCCAAGACTTCATCCGTCGCTCTGAGTTGTTCTGGATTCAATTGATAATCT